GCACATGCAAGGTGAGGACTTTAGTCACTAGGCTACCATGCCTTTTCTAATAAGTAGAATTGTATTTTGTATTATTGTTGTTTTAAAGATTTATTTAGTTTTATTGGAAAGGCAGATATATAGGGAGGAGACTCCCCCAAGCGGCCGCAACATCCAGAGCTGAGCTAATCCAAAGCCAGGAGTCGGGAGGTTCTTCTGTGTCTCCCACCAGGGTGCAGGGTCCCACACCCTTGGGCCATCTTCTACTGCTATCATAGACCACAGACAGGGAGCTGGATGGGAAGTGGAGCAGTGGGATTAGAAATGGCACGCAGGGCCCAGCATGGTAGCCTAACAGCTAAAGTCCTCTCCTTGTACAAGCCCTGGGATCCCATATGGGCACCAGTTCTAGTCCCAACAGCCACACTTCCCATCTAGCTCCCTGTTTGTGGCCTGGAAGGGCAGTTGAGGACAGCCCAAAGCCTTGGGACCCTGCACCCATGTGGGAGATCCAGAAGAGGTTCTGGGCTCCTGGTTTCGGTTTGGCACAGCTCCAGCCATTAAGGCTGCTTCAGAATGAATCATCAAGTGGAAGATCTTCCTGTCTTTCCTCTTCTCTGTGTATCTGTCTTTTCAATTAAAAAAAATCTGAGCCCCCTTCCTGCTGCTTTTCAGGGACTAGAGTGACAGCGTTCATATGGGATCCTGGTACATGCAAGGCAAGGACCTCAGCCACTAGGCCACTGTGTCAGGCCCAGAAGAATTAAAAAAATAAATACTTGGGAGGCCAACATTGCAGCACAGCAGCTTAAGCTGCTACCTACAATACCAGCATCCCATATGAGCACCAACTGGAGTTCCAGCTGTTTCACTTTTGATCCAGCTCCCTACTAACATGCCTGGGAAAGCAGCCTATGATGGCCCAAGTGTTTGTCCTCCAGATAAGGTATGTGCAAGACCAAGATGAAGTTCCTGGCTTCTGACTTCAGCCTGGTGCTTCTACCAGGTTAGGCTGCTAGTGTTGGGATGAACAGAGGATCCCATCCAGCTCTCTACTTATAGCAAAATAAGATGGCTCAGGGCCTTGGGACCCTGCACAGGAGACCTCAAAGAAGTTCCTGGCCTCTGGCTTCAGATCTGCTCAGCTCCAGCCGTTGCGGCCATTTGGGGAATCAATCAGCGGACAAAAGATCTTTTTCTGTCTCTCCTTTTCTCTGTAAATCTGCCTTCCCAATTAAAAAAAATCTTTAAAAATAAATTAATAAATCTAAAAAAAAGAAAGCAAGATTTGTCTATTTGAAAGGCACAGTTACAGGGAGAGGAATGGAGGAAGAGAAAGAGCTTGCCTCCATTGGTTCATTTTCCAAATAGCCACAACAAAGCCAGGAGCCTGGGCTCTGCCTGGGTCTCCCCCGTGGGTGGCAGGGGTTATCTTCTGCTGCGTTTCCAGGGGTTCCTCCTAGGGATGACTTGCGCTTAGATGTCCACTTTCCCAGGGCTGGCCAAACAGTGTCTCTTTTCTCATGCCTTAGTTCTCTAACAAGCAGAAGGCATGCGTGGGCTCGGAGGCCAGAAACTGCAGCTCTGGCTGGCTTCCACACTCTAAGCCCTTGTGCAGAACACTTGGCCAGGGTGCAGACACTTGCAGCGAGTTCCATGGGTGTGGACCTCTCCCTGCATTGGCTTTTTTCCTTCCCTTTAGGAATATGCATGTGAGCTGCCAACACTTGCTTTTTTTTTTAATTATAGGCATAGGCACTATTTTTGGCTTTTGTTTGGTCTGAAATTAGGGAACCCTGAAGTAATATAGCCCTGCGCTTTCTGCTGGCAGTTGCTCTCCCAACACCTTGGCAAAGACACCTGCTTCCTCCCACTCCAGCAGGCACACAGAATAATGACATGGAAGTCAAATGCCAGACTGACTGACTGCACACACACCAAAGAAAGAACTCCTCTTTTACTAAAACAAAGAAAGTAGCAGTTTTCATAGTCTCATTAGTTTTCCCCCATTACGGAAGACCAGGAGGTGCAGCGAGGTTCCTCGAAGGGTGACTTCTGCAAGCGCTATGCATTCCCCTGTGGAGAAAAATGACTTGAATCTTTAGTCTTTGTCGTTTACAGGGATCATTAAAGAGTACTGCTGACTAATGAAGACAAATGCAATGAGATGTGGTTTGGCTAAGCAGCTAAAACATACTTTTAGGGCCAGAACAGGATTTCCAAAAGGAAGGGTGGGAAGAGATGTTTTGCATTCTCAGGGACAACAGAGCAGAGAAGGGCATGTAGGATGGGCACATCAGATGCCACAGCTGCAGCACGGACGGCTCCTGTAGGAAGGTGGCACAGGAAGGAGCACACCTGTGGCCTGAAGCCTCAGCCATGAAGAAGCTGTTTCTAGCTTGCTGGATGTAAATGTTTCCTTTCCTGCCATCCCAGGGGACTTGACTTAAATCTCTCAATCCGCAATAGGCTGGTCAACTTGTAAACCTTGTGGTGCTGTGCTACTTGTCCACTGCTCAACATAAGAACTCGGGATGGAATGGCCTTTAGTCTCAGACACATGCACTCTGCACGGGAGAGCCACAGCACAGCTGTGATTCCAGCTTGCTGCTAACACGAGAGGCAGTGGTGAGGGTCCCTGCCCCTGCCACGGGGGACCTGAAAGGCATTCTGGGCTGCCAGCTTGGACTCCGGCCCTAGCAAGGACAGACATTTTGGAGCGAGCCAGTAGATGAGAACTGATCCTCAAATCGATTTTTTTTTTTAAAGTAGAGTTTGGTCCCTTGCGGGGCTCTCCAGGGAAAACTGATCCAAAAGTACCCAGGGATGAGAAAACGAAGGAATCATGGTTCTTATGCCTCTGTGGACAACAAAAGAGGCAAATGCAGCTAGAAATCAAAGTGAGGCTTTTAAAAAAAGCATCTGACCTGTGTCTACCTGGATGAGCGGTTAGACAAACACACAGATAGTGAAGCTGGGTGGTCCACAGCGCTCGGCACAGTCTTTGAACCCATACAGCACAAGTTCCCTACTGTGGGGGATAAAGAGGAGACAGTTTGCAGAGGCAAACCCAGAAGTGGCCCTGAGCTCCGCCAGAGTAGCGCGAAGAGCCAAGCAAAGCTGGCATCACCAGTCCCCGGTAGCGTCTCCAAGGATGCCGATATCCCGGCAGCTCTTCTGTCATCCTAGCATTGCAAAACCAAAGAGTGGCAGTCCTGGAGCCTCTCCCAGGAACCCAAGGAGACCCCAAGAAGGGACAGTCCTGCCCATCTAACCAGGGTCCTTCTTCACCCTGTAACAACAGTCACGCCAAGAGCCAGAGGAACCTCAGGGAGCAACATGCAAGTAACTACATCTGAGTGTGCCTTCTGCAAGACCCACGGAACACCTGTGCATCTCAGCGTGCCTTCCACAGGGCCCATGAAACACCTGCTGGGTCCCTGCCATCTCCAACACCCTAACTTTGTATAAATCTCAACAGCATCAAGCCTAAAGGAGCACCAATCTCTTAGAGTGACCTCTTAAAGAATACTAATGAGATGTACAAGAACCAACTTTGAGCTCAGCTCAAGGATCAAAGTCCCCCTCACCTTTCATTTTAACCTCTTTGAACACAGCAATATCTTACCTGCTTATGAATAGTGTATTGTGCACATAAAGCAATAATATGCAAAACAGCCAAGCACCTGGAACTGGGGCGGGGGGTGGGGGGTGGGAGGAGGTTTCAACATTAGGAATGTTGAAAACTAAGGCCTGTGCCTCTTAAGGTGGCTTTTTGTACCCAGGTATGAAACAACACAAGCAAATAGTTATTGCTCCCTAGATGTGAAGGCAGGAAGCTTCCAGCTTGCCCATGTCCCAAGACATAGATAACCTGCTTTCTTACCTATCTCAACTTCCTGGGGTGGGGCGGTATGGCTTAGGTAGGCTGGGTTTAATCTCACCACCTATGATCCTCCCCTGCAGGGACCACAGCGAGGAGACAGGACAAAAGCACTGTCATTAACCTAGTGACAGGCTGTGACACTGACACCACAGCCCTAAAGTCAAATTCTACTCGACTAGCAGTTTTTTTTATAATCAGCAATCCTCGAGAAGCAGAAGCTGGCTAAGCCCTCATCTGTCCACGGACTAAATGATCTCTTCCCTTCACCCCACAACCTTGTCCTTGACTGGCACCGGGGACAGAGTGCAAGCTCCTGAAACTGGGGAAAGAGCACACACATGTGAGTCAAGCCCCAAGGGCTACTCCCTTAGGCTGAACTGTCTGCCTGTGTACCAAGGTTTCCCGGGGCGGGAGAGTGCCAGGCACAATCACACAGAGCCAAAGGTCATTTCCTTGGATGTGGGCAAATTCTACTTGAATTGCAAAAGCTTTCATCAACAGCAAAATCATGGACGGCAAAACCACCCACAGGAAATGTCAAATTCCTTTGTCATTCAGGTAGTAGAGAGGAGTCATCCACAGAGAATGCAATCCCTTCCGCCATCTTCCTTCGGCTTTCCTGAAAGCCCCTGGATGCTCAGGAAAACGGCAAGGCATATTGGGAAAGTCACACCAGTGGGACACCAGTGGGAGGTCTCTTGCAGGGCAAGAAGGAAAAACCCTTATCCCTGACATCCAGGAAACACACAGCAGTTATCCCACTGTACACAGCAACTGGATGTTCTCTTTGGGTTAGGGTAAGGTGGAACACAGAGTAAAGGGGAGAGAACTTGTTCCCATGCAGTGCCAAATATAACAATCCCCTCCTCCCGGGCATGGAGGCACTGGCCTGGCTTCCTGGCATCACTTCATGGTCCCAATGTTGCCCACCAAGAAACCAGGACCAGCAAATTCAAGTGATTGAACAATTAAAATTATACGGGGTTGTAGGCAAACTCTTGTTTGTATATGTGTGTGTATGTGTATATTCTACTCCGGGTAATGTTTTCCACACTCAGCATTCCCGTTTTCATAATTCCTCTTTGTTCTACACACTGGATGGTTTAAGCAAAGTACTGTGTCATTTTAATCTTTATTTTATACTTTCTAAACCAGATACAGAGAACAGAAAGGGAAAAAAAGGATGATCATCATTGTCCCACAGGGTAGAAAAATGAGATTTCTCTGACTCAAGGTCCGTCCATATTTGGGGCTAGTACCTTCGATGCCTACCCAGGAAAGACTAATGGAGCCTGTTACACCCCCACCCCAACAGGAGGAACCCCAAGGCTAACCTATCACAGTGTTCTAGCTCAAGCAAATGTGTGAGACTACGGAGGATTTCAACTTAACATCTAAGTGGTAAGTCCCGGCGGGGGAACTGCAGAACTGCGCATGCCCGGGACATCCAGCCGCTGCTGTCTGCTCCGCTGCCCTGCTCCCTGGCTTAAGCAGACACGTATGGGGGCGGTGGCTCCTTAGTAGCCCCATTCACCGTGGCGTCATCATACGGGGGCAACAGCACCTGAGAAGAAAAGCAAGAAGGAGTGAATATGAGGAAGTGGGCACACATGCATTGGGGCCAGCCCTGAGGTGCAGTACATAAAGCTGACATCCCACAGGGCATAGTCCCAGCTGCTCCACTTCCGGTGAAGGACCCTGCTCATGGCCTGAGAGGACGGTGGAAGACTGACCAAGTGGTTGGGCCCCAGCACCCATGTGGGAGACCTGGAGGGAGCTCTGGGCTCCTGGCTTTGGCCTGGCTCAGCCCCAGACTTTGTGGCCATTTGGGGAGTGAATCAACAGATGGAAGATCTCCCTCTCGTACCTCCTTGTTTGTGTAATTCTGAGTTAAACAGACATTGCCTAAAGTTGAATCTTAACAGAAATAAACATTTTCCATCATATATATATATATATATATATATGCCAAGTTCAATTTTCCAGGAAGTAGGTACATCCATGACAAGAGATTTGTTTGAGAGCCAAAGACTAAGCTCTCACTCTCCAACCCAAATGCCCACAGCAGCCACAGCTGCGCTGTAGTTAGGTCGGGGCAGGAACTCAGTGTGGTTCTGTTCTGTGAGTCAGCATCTGGAGTCAGAAGCTAGAGCCAGCCTTCCATTTTTTTTTTTTTTAAGATTTTATTTTTATTGGAAAGGCGGATATACAGAGAGGAGGAGAGACAGAAAGGAAGATCTTCCGTCCGATGATTCACTCCCCAAGTGAGCGCAACGGCAGATACTATGCTGGTCTGAAGCCAGGAGCCTCTTCTGGGTCTCCCACGCGGGTGCAAGGTCCCAAAGCCTTGGGCCGTCCTCGACTGCTTTCCCGGGCCACAGGCGGGGAGCTGGAAGGGAAGTGGGGCTGCCAGGATTAGAACCGGTGTCCATATGGGATCACGGGCGTGCAAGGCGAGGACTTTAACCACTTGCGCCACCGCGCTGGGCCCTAGAGCCAGCCTTTCCAACGTGAGACGTGGGGATCCTAACCTGCTCCTTGATCAGACTTCCTGGGTCCTCAAGGAAGTGAGTGGGGAGAGCACCTCGGCCCTTGAGTTTTCCTAACGCTGCCTACGAGGGGCTGGATGTCTTGGGTGCCTGGACTGCCAGGGAGGGGGCCACATCTCTAAGCATAAAACAAAGGACCACATGGGTGGGTGTGGAAGTGTGCACACACACTTAGAGCCCAGGCACTCTGCTCCAGCCAGAACCACTCAGGGTGAGACCCACAGGGTACAGAGGCAAAGACCAGGGTATTGGTATTAACCTGGCTGAGTGGGAAGAACCCTGGGAAGATTTGGGGTGGCGTGTGAGCAGAACATGTGCTGCCAACGCTGAGAGTCATATGAGGGCAATGACTTAGGCGAGAACACGGAACAGAAGGCAAGGGTTGGGGCCCCTGGAGCATGCAGCAGCTCCTGAAGTTCAACCCAGCATGCAGAACAGCTCTACAAGGAATCCCTAGCATCTCAGCTTGAGCAGAGAAAGGAGATGCATTATTTAGAACAAGGCAGTGTCTCTGCTCTGCCTGCAATCCCGTGCTGGAGACACAAACTTATACAGCCAGTGGAAAACAGCTGAGATGGACACCAAGACACCACCCACTAGTAGCACCCTGACAAACCCTGGAAATGGCCGGCAGACTCATGCCCACCAGCGTCCTCCAACCCTGGAGAGCTGGCAAATCGGAGCCAGGCGTCCCTACCAACTTCATCCTTTAAGCAAAATACAATCCTCCAAACTACACACAGAGGAAGGAAATACAACATTTTCTTAAAAAGAAAGGAGAAAAAAAATGTGCTGTGATCTGCCTTTTGCTAAGATAAAACTGTCACGTCTGGCGTGGTAGTCTGACGCGCTGTCTCGCGATTCACCTGCAGATACACTTCAAGTTCATTTCGGATGAGTATTTTCGCATTCTGCCAGCTTGTTCTTGCAAACAGTCGAATGCCTTGGACCCAGGAGACAAAGGTCAAGATGCCAAGAGAAGAATGGTTCCTTTCACTGATGTTTCAGAGCCTCACTTGGTTTTAATGTTGTAAGCCTCAGATCGTAACTGCTGACTGCAGAACACTGGTCCACGTGACACCTCTTGGTGCTGGACTGCTTCCCGAAGTTCTCCAAATGGAACGGATTTGAAATTCCTGAGGGGATCACATCATCTTTTCATCTAAGTGATGCTGATATTACTGCTGATTTAGGGAAGGCTACCCTCCATTTCTATTCATCTGTTAACACTGCCTAAAATCATATTTTTTCTTTTCCACAGAATCAAAATGCTAGGAGGCCCTAGGGACAATTACTATAAAATTCAGCCAAACAATGAAACATGTAAAAATCCAATTAGTCTGACATTTTTCAAAGTTGATGCTTAGTTAAGCCATTTCTTATTTTCTTTTTTAAAAATAGTTAAACAGAGACTAGTGCTGTGGCACAGTGAGTGAAGCCACCACCTTTGATCAGGAGCACCAGTTCCAGTCCCAGCTGCTCTACTTCAGATCCAACTCCTTGCTAATAAACCTGGGAAAGCAGTGGAAGACGACCCAAAGCCTTGGGCCCCGAACCTACATAGGAGACACAGGAAAAACCCCTGGCTCCAAGCTTTGGATCACCTCAGCTCGAGCTGTTTCTGGACATTCAGGGGGTGAATCTGTGGACAGAAGATCTTTTTCTCTGTGTCTCAACCTCTCTGTAAATTTGCCTTTCCAATGAAGCAAGCCAACCAAACAAAAACAGTCTGAGTCATGTCCTTCATCAACTTAAGAAACCTCAACCTCAAGCCTGGCAAGCCACAGCCCAGCTCGGAGCAGGTGAACACAGTGCCCCCAACCCCCCATCTGACTAACCTCTACCCGAGACCACTGCCTGTCCGGCTGCACCTGGTGTAACAGGGCTTCAAGCTACACATGCCTCCTAAGTCACTGTTGACAGGTCGGGCCACACAGCCACTGTGGGACACTGCCATCCTCCTGCTGGCTGACCCTAAGGACCACTAGGACACGAGCACCTACCTCCCTCTACAGCTCCCTTCTCCTGAAGTACTTATGCCAGGTGACACTCTGGGTGTGAACAAAGCTCCTGGTCCCTTCTGGCCCAGTTCAACAAAAACAGGAAGTGTTGGAAGAGGAAGAAGCTTCGCAGCCACGTTAACAACTCCGCAGCCACGTTAACAACTCGTGACAGCTGGTGGGCAAAGTAACTCAAAGGTTGCAGAACCTCACTCCCTGGGGCACAAGCGATTCCCGCTGGGCTAAGACCCACTCATCATGAAAGGCGGAAATCACACTTCCTTATCTTCTGTGTTTCCTCCACGCTGTTGCCACATTGATCTGAACCATAAATCTGATTTCGTCATTCTTGTCCTGGAACGATAAGAGACTATGCATTGGCCATGCCTGACCTACACAGACTAAGGCGGCCATGACATTGCTAGACGGCCATAAGTTCCCTCATACCTAGAGTGTCTGTCATCGACCCAAACGTGTAGTGACCTCTGCCCCCAGTTCCTACTCGAAATCTCCCGTCATCTCTGGGGTGAAGGGAGTATCTTTTGCTCTACGGAGGGCCGTCAGGCTTTGTGTGGAGCACAGACCGCTGACAACAAGGCGTGCGATCAGTGATGAGACACTGTGCTAGGAGCTAGGAAAACATGCTAAGGGGGACCGGGCCACACTGTGGGTGGCTGCTGGCCGGTGTACCCTGGGTTGAAGCGTGTGGGGTTGGTTTCCTGGGTGGGATGAGGGGGGACCTTGTGGTACCTTAGTTGTACAGTGTCCTTTGGTGTCTGGGTCATGGTGGACTGTGTGTTTATGTAGAAGCTGAGTTTCAAAGACTTCTCTGTGACAATCCTAGTGGGTATTACAGTTACTGTTTTTCAAGAACAATTGATTTGGGTTTATTTCTTTCTTCATTTATTTTTCAAGTGAAGGATTTCTTTATTGACTTCTTGCTATGGTTGGTTCAATATGAAGTCTGAATTAGATATACAGGCATGGTAATATAAACACAGAAGAGTTAACACTTTCTCAGAAACATATCAGAATAAAGAACCTGCAGAGCAGGTAGCGCTGGTGCAACAGGAACTGCATCTGTATCCTTTGTAGCAGGCCACCTGCTGCTGCTGTCCCAGGTGCATTGGCAGGGAGCTGGACGGGAAGTGCAGCAGTCAGGACCTGAACATGGGCTCAAATAAGGAAATGCTGGCAGAGAGGGTGATGGCTTTACCTATGTGCCAAGGTCCGCCCTGCTCCATTTCTGTCTGGCCTGGGAACCAAGAGCATTTCTTATATAATCGAAGGGCTGAACTGTTGTTTCAGTTTTGTGAGGTGAAGCCTTGTGCAGCCACACACCCTAGTTTTCAAACGGCCTGCAGCTGGTCATGGCATCCATGCTGCAGCACTCAGCTGAAGGTCATGGCAGAGATTAAATGCCCATGAGACCTAAATAGTCACTGTCTTGCCTTTTATTTAACAACAACAACAAAAGTTGCCATTTCTCCTACCCTAAGGAGAAGCACGACCCTGAATTCTGATGACCTTGGAACACAGGAAGATGTCATATGACCAACTTCACATCCTAAGGCCCCACAGCCCATAAGTTAATAGCACATGGCATTGTGGTACAGCTAGCTAACCTGCTGCCTGTTTCACTTCCAACCCAGCTGCCAGCTAACGCGCCCAGGAAGGCAGAGGAAGATGGCTTAAACACTCGGGCCCGTGCCGTTCTCATGGAGGTCTCCTAGCTTCCTTCAGCCCGGACCAGCCACTGTGGCCAGCTCGGGAGTGACCCAGTCACGGAACAGCTTGATATCACTCTCTCTGCACTTTCAAATAAATAAATAAACCTTTTTAACAAAGGACATCCAAGGATGCACCCAACTATCACACAATTAAGTATGCAAGTAAACAGAACCATGCATTTCTCATTCTAAGAGTCACCCACTTTTTGACCTTTTCCCTCTGAATTCACTGGCATTTGACAGTACCTAAAACAAATTGCCATTGACAGCTAATGGGTTCTTTCA